TTCCCAATTTTGCAAAGGTGATTCTCTTTCAGCTGGTGCAAGAGGCACACTAGATAGTCAAAGTGATGAGATACTGGCACAGGTTGCCCAGAGAATTTGAGGATCTCATCCCTGAAAGTGTTCAAGGCCAGGTTGGATGGGGCTTGGAGCAACCTGGTCTAGTAGAAGGTGTCCCTGCCCATTGCAGGGAGGTGGAACAATGTTCCTTAAGGTCCCTTCCAACCCAAACTGTCTCTAATCCTAGGATAGTATTTCAACAGTTCCCGGAGGCTGGAAATCATCCTTTCTAGAAATACCTTCTGGGGTTTGGGTCATAAAGAGTGTTGGGGAGTGTTGAATATTTCTAACCTCTGCAGACATGTCTGCAAGAAGATGAATGGTGAAAGTGCTGATGGAAAAATTTAATTTCCCTCTCTGAAAGTAATGATATTATTCCACAGGCTGCAATATTATGGATATATTAATTTAATTCTAATTTAAATATGATGAATTTTTGTTTGTTTGATTTGAGCTCTTCAAGATCCTTCAGTGTTGATTTTCAGATCAGTTACTCTTTTATTCATTAGCTTTAAGAAAGAGGCGAGGATTAAAAATAGGTTGAGAACAAAAAAAAAAGCAGAAAACCAAACTATAAGTCTCCTAGATCTTTACAAATTGAAATGTAAATAAGTTTTCTTTGTTAATAAACATATTTTTTGTGAGAAATGGAAGTGAACTTAAAATCTATTGACCAAACTGTATTTTGAGCCCTCCTTTTTGTCTTTTTAGGTAAACCAAATAAAGCAGGTACATCCACGTACTCTCTCCTTTAAAAGGATGCTGTTCTAACATAGTTCCATAGGCAGATGAAGTGTGACTCAATATCTGCATCACTGATGGTGCTGATACGGAGTGATTCTAAAATATAAATTGTGAACCAAACCCCGTGCTGGAACATGTCACTTAACTTCCTTCATTTGCAGGAATAACACAGAGAGACCAAGATACTCTCCTGTTGGCACCAAGTGACTGAGCTTGCTCATCCACTAATCCGAGAAGGAAGCTTTCACCTGGCTCCGAAGCAGCCCAGGGAAAGGGAGAGCTGAGCCTTCCACCTACACACACATCCACCCACAAAACTCCCTGTCTCAAAGGTTCCCATGGCTTTCTGCTGCTCCTGGCTAGATCTGATTTCCTTAGCTGCCCTAAGAGTCCTTAAATATCCATCCATTAGGCAGAAGTGCCAGAAGCATCAGCCATGTGCCTCCGGACCTGATGTTTCTTTAATTCCATGAAGCAAAGTAGCAGCGACAGCCCGAGTGTGAATAATTCACCAGGAGGGCTCTGGTGAGCAGCTGCTGGAGCTGCTGTGGTGCTCACAGCACAAGGGCTGTGTGGTGAAGCACTGGAGGGTTTCTCTCCCTACTTCCCCGAAGTGGTGGCCCATGAGAAACCATCTGGCTGGCCCCAGTTAACCAAAGTGTACCTGCAGCATTCCCTGTGTGGAACACACAGCACCTGTTGGAGAGTAAGGAGCCAGGCAAGAATCATGGAATCATGGAATGTTAAGGGGTTGGAAGGGACTTTAAAGATCATCCAGTCCCAACTCCCCTGCTGTGGGCAGGAACACCTCACACTAGACCAGGTTGCTCAAGGCCTTATCTAGCTCGGCTCTGAAAACTGCCCCTGGGTGACACTGGTTATTTGGGGCTAGGAAGAGAAGGAGCTGAAGTAAAATGATCTTTGGTCAGTGAAGATGACAGAGAAGGTGTGAAGGTTACATCTGCACCATGACACCAGACTTGTCAGGCCCTGAGAGGGACAGAGCTGTGGCTTCTCTCTCCAGCAAGGTTTTGCACGGTACTGGGCTGAAGACAGACCAAAGTTGACTCACATGAGTGTTCAAAGAGCTTCCTTGGACTCAGTGGTCTAAGAGGTCTTTTCCAACTTAAACAATTCTGCAATTCTGTGATTTTATCCTATGATTCTATCCCATGACTTTATCCCCCAGGGGAGGGTGAGTGCCTGTGTAGTGCTTAGTTGCCAGCTGGGGTAAACCCTCAGCATATGCACAGCACATTCTTTCCTCCTGATCTGTATAAAATGAAGATATTTGATGGGTCCATCCTACTCCCTTGGGTATTCGTCATAAAAAAACCCCAGAGGCATTTAGTAAACATCCTTTGCTGCAGGGATCACCAAGAGGGGAATCACTTATGTAAATTAATTGGGCCTTCAAGAGTTGGAAATACGTACAGAAACTCAAATCAGTCACCAAAAGAAAACTTCAGCTTTCTCCTGAAATCTAGAAAGCTTGATGATGATGATGATGATGATTATTTCATTAAATCATAGAAATACAGTTTGGAAAAGATCTCTAGGCTGATTGTAGATTTAAGTTCTTATCAGTTTTTACATTTTCCCCGTAAACACTGGGAGTTTAACCTTATTGATAACAATGTTTTCTTCACCTGAGAAACTTGTACAACACAGAAGAGCTTGATACAAGAATGGAATGGAATAGAATGGAATAGAATAGAATAGAATGTAGAAAAGCAATTGTTGAACTGTGGGGCACAGGACACACACATCATTCATTTAGGCCAATTACTGAAGTATGCATCGAACTTGCTGCTTTAATTTGGCTTTTCCACGCCAATGTGAAAAGTAGTAACACCCTAATAAAGTCTGGAGGAAAAGGGGGCGGGTGGAGAGAGGGGAGATATCAGGTCTTGGAAAAAGGAGTTCAGATACAACACCAAAGGATATTCTGAGTCTCCTCTTGCCTGTCCTGCAGCTGTCCACTCTTGTATGCTTTCTCACTCCCTGGTAAAGAGACCCAGCAGAGACAGTTCACAGTTCTGCCAGCCTCTCTTGCCCTTCAAGGTATGTCCACCAATAATCTTGGTCCTGAAGCAAAGCCTTCATCTTCTCTCTCATCTCCTTAGCCTGCCTCTTCTAAGAGGGTAAAGACCCATCTTATTTAAAGAAGGAGTCACATTTAGGCTTTTCTCATAGAACCACAAAGGTAGGAAAAGATCTCTAAGACCATCAAGTCCAGCCATCAAACCAGCACCATCACCATGTTCACCACTAAACTATGTCCTCAGGTGCTTCATCCACAAATTTTTTGAACACTTTCAGGGATGGTGACTCCACAACTTCAAGTGGCTTTGGATCACTGGTTCAGGAGAAGAGGCGGACACTGTAGTCCTGCACATCATCCACATGGCATGAGGACATGTACTTGTGTTCTGGAGACAGGGAGCTCACAGGGCTCACAAACAGACCTGAGCTCTGCACCCTGAGCTGCTCCTTCCCTGCTGAGTGTGTGTGTAGGACCTGTGAACACACACTGTCCTGGGGAGTCTCAGCTGTCTTTGATGACTCCATTAGCCCTTTAAAGCCTGGTTTAAGAAAACAGGACAAATCTGAAGTGAAAGAAAAGGGGCTTTCCTACAGCATGCAAAGCTGTGACAGCATGCAGGGTGACAGCTCCTGAGCCATGATCCCGAGTGGCTGCAGGGAACAGCTGCTGTACGTGGAGACACACGGTTCTGGCAGGGCTTCGGGCACAGAGGGAAAATCCACCCGAGCAGAGAGCTCTCACACACGTGCACAAGCACTTACCAAGCCCCAGTAACTGTGCTGCAGGGTATCTTTTGCTTTCTTATTGTGCAGGGGTTAAGGCTTGGCTGCCTTGATGAGAAAGCTGTCCTGATTGCTTGCAAACTCAGCATTCCCAGTTAAAACTGATTTAAAGAGGCAGGAAAGGCAATCAGGAAACAGCTCCCTCTCCATCCTTTAAAAAAACCTTAATTTTAACACCTAATTATGTACAATACAGACTCTTTCCTATTTCTTTTGCCAAGCTGCTTCTTGGTTTTGAAGAAGTGGTGCTCACCCTCACAGGGAGGGAGGCTTTGATTAGGAGAAAGTAAAAACTGTTGAAGAGGAGAAAAGCCCAACTGAATAGTGTGGTACCTGCAGCACGATGCTGCCTCTGGCACTCACCTGCTCTCTCACCTTGGGCATGTGGCAGAGGCATCTGGGTTTGATTTCCTTCCTTTTAAAGGAGATGGGAAGGCAATCATTTTCCTCCTACGCATCAGGCTTGGAGACATAGGACTGCAAAGTGCTAAAGTAGAGCAGGAAAACTATTCCGGTTGCCTAATGACAGCTCCAGAGAAGTAGCAGAATATATCCATTTTTTCCACATCTCTTTAAGCACAGCTAATGAAGAGAAAAGAAAGTCCCTGCTCTGGCTGAGAGCAAGCAGCAACACTGCAAGTGATGCACAGAAATGTAGGAAACACACTGGAGTGCAGGAATTCGGTTACAGGGCTGTTTGCAAATTAATGGCTAAATCAATTAAATGAAAGCATGGGATTTCTCTTGAGGAAAGTCTGGGCACAGTCGCAAGGAGAAGGGGAGGGGTTGTGGAGCAGGGATGACATAATCACGTTTGCGAATCACCAGCAGTGTGCATGCTTTAATCCATTAATGGGGTTTTTATCTGTGATCATAAAAAGCAGGTTACATTCAGCCTGGGAGGGAGTGAGGGTTGGAGGAGACGGGGAGGGGAGAGAAAGAGAGAGAGAGAGAGAAAGAGAGAGAAAGCAAGGCAGAAAGAGAGAACAATTCACTCGGTGAATTGCTTGCAAGCTTGGGGCTGATAATTAGGGATCTCAGGAGAGCAGTTTCTCAGAATAACGTGCTCTCGTTCAAATGGACCGAATGGAGACAGTGGTTCAGTCCTGCTGATATTTTTTAAGCCCTCCTCGCAGTTTGATGGGCATTCCCAGTGCTTTTGTGCACGTCTCGGAAAGCGTTGACGTGGAAGGGAGCAGCGAGGAGGGGGAGGTTGGAGGAAAAAACTGCAGCTCCTCTAAAAACACGGAGGGCATGCGAGGGAGCGAGCAGGCTGGGGAGGAGGGCGAGGCGGGCGCACCTCGCACCATGTTCCCCCGGTGCCGGCGCGGCGCAGTTTCGGAGATGTCTCTCCTGTGACTGGACGCACCATGAGCATCTGGGAGCTGATCCTGGCTTTCGTGGTGGTGGTGCTGATGCTCGTGGCCCTGCTGGCCAACGTGCTGGTGCTGCTGTGCTTCCTGTACAGCGCCGACATCCGCAAGCAGGTCCCGGGATTGTTCATCCTCAACCTCACCTTCTGCAACCTGTTGATGGCTGTTTCCAGCATGCCCCTGACCTTGGCCGGGATCATTTACAAGAGTCAACCAGGAGGAGATCCGATCTGCCAAGCTGTGGGCTTCCTGGAGACTTTTCTCACCACGAATTCCATGTTGAGCATGGCAGCTTTGAGCATTGACAGGTGGATCGCTGTGGTCTTCCCTCTAAGTTATCACTCCAAAATGAGGTACAGAGATGCTGCTCTCATACTGAGCTACACGTGGTTGCACTCGGTGTCGTTCCCGATAGTGGCAGCTTCTCTCTCCTGGGTGGGTTTCCATCATCTCTATGCCTCCTGCACCCTGTACAACAAGAGACCAGAAGACAGGACACAGTTCATGATTTTCACTGGGGTCTTTCACGCTCT